TGCTGCTAATGACCTCTCCTAAATAATCCCAGCATACAGAAGAGAAGCTCACCTCCCTTTCTCCACAAAGGAGGAAGGAAAGGAGTAGTTTCTCTCGCATTCCACTGGATCACTGTATAAGGTAACAGCAGTCAAGATACTGTTCGTACCATCCACTGAAGTCTACTGCAAGGGCAAACAACTTTCACTTCTATGAGTTCTCTGCAATTGCCACTGGTCTCAAGAAAGCATGTGGTGGTGGCAACCGCAAACAGATTTGTGAACTCCTAGTAGCAAACAAACTAAACAAAATTATTTCAAACATTTCTTCATCGCAGTGTTTTGCAATTAAAGCAGATCTCTTGGATTATTCTTTGTAAAGCAACAGACCTTATAAAATAGCACACAATAGCTTTGTGTAAGTATTTTGTTTCTGTTATTGCATTAGAGTTATGTAAGAAGATGGAAGGGGGTGGAGAGAAAAAAATAGGGCAATGGCAGGTTAGATAGGTTATGAAAGTAGCATTTCTTTAAAGAAATGCTTGTTTACATACCCTAACAATCAGTTCTAGAGATAAACATCCCATAAGTATTTCCTTCCTTCCTGCTTTAACTTACTTGTAGTGCATATACTCTTAAAAGCATTCCTATTCTAATCCTGTGTTTGCTTCTACACAGTTGGCAAGAAAAGTAAAACATTACTACATTCTTAACTAGGTTACAGCACATTGTCTGCAAGAACAATTGAGCTCTCAACCAATGCATGATAGTACTACAGTATTTGTCTTCAGGCTGTTTGTGTAGAAACACCACCACAAATGGCTGATATTCCTTCATAGTATTATATTACAAAAAGACAGCACTGAAAACAATTACAGCCTCTCTTATTCATTACATCAGTGATTTGCATGGTGGCAGAGGTCATTTTTTATAATAATAAAAAATAATTGAGCAGGGAGTTGGTAAAGAGAAGGAGTGTATATATATAAACTAAATAAATGTTAGCATACACTCTTCACAAGCAGGATTAAAGATATTTCACACAACCTGTGCCACATAGCCAGTGTATACACCTTTAATGACTAAATTTTAAGACAAGAGCAACAGCACATGTCCATTTGTCCTTAGTACTTTATGTTTTATTTTTATGTGTCTATTATGTGTCTTTCAGATATAAAAAAGAAAGCAGCAATAATAGGATCAAGAGCATAAAACATTCATCCATTCATTCACTGTACTATCCATCAGATTTGCAGATTATCCAAAGTTGTTTTCTACTACTACTACTACTACAAAAAAAATTGTACCCCGCCCATCTGACTGGGTTGCCCCAGCAACTCTCAACAGAATATACGAGAACACAACAAAAGATCACACATTAAAAGCTTCCTGATACAGCTGACTCATATGTCAGTAGCAGATCACATCCATGTTCCATGTTAGTAACCAATTTTTATTTTATTTTTAAAATGTATAGACTGATTGTCTATATATGGATCTAGATTAATTATCTGATTGGTGGCTTTATCTGTCTCTATGACGACTGCAACCCAGAATGTCTGAATGAATATACACTGCCACCAGATATGAAAAAATGTTCCCATCGCCACACATCCTCTTCCACATGCCAGACATATGAAATTTCCTAACATTTTCTAAAAGAAGATGGGGCACAAGTGGCTATCAACAGACATTTATGGAGGAATCAGAAACCCAACAATCCATTTATACTGTATTAGTTTTTATACTGGAAAGCTGTATATACTAAACCAAACCTTATAAAAATTTGACTCAAAGACTGAAGACTGCTGCTTCTATCAAATGCCTCCTATAGTGGAATATATGTTGCAAGCACTGCCTCTGATATTAGATAGTTAATATATTCATCAATAAGAGTTGTTCTATTGAAGTACACTTATAATTTAGCATGAGTGGCTATTTGTGAAGTCGAGGGAAATGTGTAATAATTCCCATCATACATACTGTGAAGGCCAAAGGAAATATATAATAATTCCCATAACAAATAAATTACTACAGTTTTTCATGCTGTCCACTGGCATACTGTGCTAATCAATATGTAGTTATTAAGAGCACTGTGTGATTAAAATGGGGTAAGATATATTTAACACTTATTTGCACATCCACTGTTTCAGGATTTTCAGTTGATCACAAACCTATAATATATGAGTTTTGATACCATGCATTCATTCACACAAAGGGACTAATTGTCTTGGAATTCATACAGATGCTCCTAGGGAGTATCAATAAATCTTAATAATAAAGGCAACTTACTAAGCCATAAGCAGGAATGTGAAACTATATTTTTACCTACTTTACAATGCCTAGATTCAAGCGTGTTCAACTCAAATTATATTTATCATCAGGTTGCCAATAAGGGCTGCAGCACTTGTGCAACTTCAAGCAATAGCAAAACAGCAAGCTGGGAACAGAAATGGGAGTTTCCAGACTGATACCCTAGAACATGAACCAAAAAAGACAACACTGCCTCCTTCACTTAAGGGAACAGCCAGTAGCCCCATCAGTCAGAGCTTGTGGCATTTGTTCTAAAAATAATTTCAGTTCCTCAGAAGTACCTCTGTAGAGCTCTATCACACAATTAAAAATTTCACTGCTTACTTTTATCCACTGAAGCACTACCTTCGACATCACTTTACAGATCACATTCATTCTAGTAAAACACTGAATTAACAGAAGCAGAAAAACAACCACCCTTGCTTACTGACCTATTATTCTAGTTAGTGTTACCCTTACAGTAGTAAAGGTATACTATAAAACATTCTTTAAACATGATATAAAGGGAAACAATGAGTTCTTTTCTAAAAGTTTAGAGCTGAAATTTTAAACAATATGCTAGCCATTTGCAAAAAGGCAGACAGTTAAATTGTGACACAGTGAAACAGAAGAAAAGGTACTAGAGGGTATATACCACAGAGCCTGGCAACTTCTTCCACAGTACAGGGCAAAAAGGAGATGAGTCACAGCACCAAACATGCTACGGGGTGAGCTCCTGACTAGCCAGCTCTTTATTTTTCCTTCTGTGCACATGTATCACAACTATGAATCAAAGCTCTGACATGCAACAGAATGAGGTCTGAAGCAGGATATTCAGAATTCAATGCTGCCACAGCATACTGAATGAACAAACTATTCTCTCTCTTATACTACAGCTGTCAGCGACCAAAGCCATACGGCAGCTAGTCCTCTCAATGGAGTGGCAAAAGTTTGCAGCTTTTTGTTTTAGCCAAACTATACTTTCACAAAAGGGCAGAAGTTACTTCAACCTCTTAAGTAACTCATATGAGAATCTGGGAGAAAGCAAAGTGGGCATTTCCCAAAAAGTAGGTTTCCGTCATGATTTTTTTTAATAACATCTGAACCTCTTTATAACAGAGTGATCTATTTTATTTCAACTCTTTCAAACCAATCCTATGAATATTTATTTGGGATTAAGCTCTGCTGAACACAGTGAAACACTTCTGAGTAAACATATTATATTCCAGACAAGTTTTCAGATGCTAAAAGCATTGGCCAATACAGAGAGAGTAAGCATGTACAGAATCAGGCTGTGCCAAGATTGATATGACCAAAACTATAATGTTATGGTACTAAAATGCTAAATGCCTGACTATATCCATTCTGAAGTATGAAATACACTGTAACTTTCATTTTACACACATATCCTAAGAAACTGAAAAAAAGCACTCAGCACTTTCGAAAGTGTTTATATTTAACACTGACAGGGTTTTAAGTTGTTACAGAGTGAAGACTGCACTACATTTCTTACATTTTCAACAACATGTGAACTGCATAGTTCCATACTTCAGAACTCCATGGCTTGCTATAATCACAATATCTGATCATGAATCTTTCATCTGACATAAGACTTGCATATATAAAGAAGAATGAGTGCTGCATATTTTTAAAACAAATAGTCTTTAGATGAAAAAGACTATTCTTTCACTTTCATTATATAAAAAAATCTTAATGTAAAAAAACAGATTTGGAATCAACTCACCAATTCTCTGAAAAACAACTATTTTATCAAGAGAAGACAGCCATGGAGCTTATTTCCAATTTAAATTGTTTGAAACATTTGATTTTAAGTTAGTGTTTCTGGCACAGCTGATGTAGCTTTCCACATCCCTCAAGAAAGGCCTTACTCAACAGAGGAAGTAGCTTACAATATTTAATAACAAAGATGGTAGGCAGTACTTATTATTCAAGTACTGTGCAATATTCCATTTTCAGTTATTCAGTAAGTGCCTCTAACAGGTTTGTAAAGCCTTGAAAACCAGATTTGGCCTTTGATAAGGGGCTTGTCCTGGATGTTTAGATAATATGCTACACCAGGTTCTGTGTTCATGGACAGTACAGATTTAAAAATAAGGAAACCATTATTAATATTTTTTCCATCACATTCTCTTTAAGACACTGACCACCAGCTGTCAGCGCCTTTCAGTTAACGGGCACATGTCATGCAAACACTTACTGCATCCAACAGTGAAAGGCTGTTTTAAATTTCTTTCTGCATCTTGCAGCAATTTTTTTGCTGCAGCTATTCCCTCCCAAACATACCCCTTCAAGCAGCCCACAAATATCAATTCAACGGGGCTCGTACGATAAAAGTAAACTGAATCTATTGTTTAACCCAACTGATTAAATACAACTGCTTAGTGGAGCTTCCCGCCCCACTTCATACTTTCCGATGGAGAGCAAATGCCCCCTATTCCTCCACCAAACTACCAAGGGCTGGCCCAGGCAGACATGTCCTCAATCCCCACGGAAAGGGTGTTGCAGAAAAACTCCAGCATACCAGATTTATATTATGCTCTCAGCACAGTTCACAGAGGGTTTACCAAAACCGAACCAACACACATTAGCCGGAGGGCAGAAAACAGCCTGCAGTCGAGGTCTGGAATCGGCTCCAGTCCTCGCACCGAGGCAGACATAACCCTCCGCCGGTTCCTCACCCCCGCCCCCCCCCCCATTAGTGCTTTTACCTTCATGATGAACTCAGGCTGCAGTAGAAAAACCCGAAATAGGTTGAGCTGCCGAGGCTGGACCTGAAATTTAAAACAAAGCACTAAGCCACCGCACCACCCCTTTTCCGCGGTCCGCGAGGGAAGCATTTCTGCGCGAGCTTCTCTCCCCCCCCCAATACTCCCCTCTCCCTCACCCCCTGCCTCTCCTATTCCCTCTACGCAGGCCCCTCTTTTCTCCACCGCCACAAACCACGACCTCGCCGCTCCAGCTCCCGCTTCCTCTCGGAGCCTCACACACGGCGGCTCGGCTTCCCCCTCACTCGCTGCCTTTGACGCCATTTCTGTCAGAGGAGAAACTTGCCACAACAACAACCGCTTCTTAACCCCCCCCCCGCTCCGTCCCCGTCCCTCCTCCTCTACGTCCGCTCCCCCTCTCCGGGTACCGCCTGAGGGGGAACGAGCCCTTCGCCTTCGGCTCTCTGGAAGCGGCTCCTACACCCCTAGCAGTCTCCCCCCCACAAACAAAAAAGTGGGGAGGGGGTGCCGTTGAATAAGAGAGACGAGAGAGGCAGGTTGCGGGGTGTCCAGCCAGGACGGAGAGGCGCTTTCTCGTCCATGCAGACACACACACACTCTCACTCTCTTCCCTGCGGGAGGGGAGGCTTCTCCATTGTACTAGGACAAGGAGCGAAGAGTGGAATGGGGGGGGCCTCCTCCCCATGCCGCTTAAAGAAAAGCGGCTCCCCAAAAGATCTCCCAGCAACCTGTCTCGATGCCTCTCTCTCTCTCTCTCTCTCTCTCCCTCTCCGTGTGCCCCCCCCCCCAAATGCTGACTCCGCGGCAGGAGTTTCGGCAACAGCCGCAGCTCCCCTGCTCAGAGCTGGTCAGCGATCGAGGAATCCAGGAAAGCGACGGTCAGCGAAGGAGAAACAAGGGACGCCTTGCCTCCATCTCGCCTCCTCCAAAGGCGGCTCCCGGACCAGTATCCTCCCACCCCGCTTGCCCGGCTCCGTCCTCCGAGGGACCCAAAGATTTCGGATTCGGGGGAGGAGGGAGGGGGGCGATCGGCGAGTCCCGCCGCAGCCTCAACAAGGAGAAAAACAACAAACCAGGAGCGCTCTTTCCCCCCTTTCTCTCTTTCCCCCCATGGCCCCTGCAAAAGGCTCCCGCCTGCACGGAGCGACCCCGCCGGCCACCGGGGCCAGGGAGATCTTCCCCGGGGCTACGTTACCTTTGTTCCTCGGCTGTCGCCCGCTTGCTCGCTGGTCCCCCCTAACCTGCGGAGAGGGGGGGCGAGGAGGATGGAGCCTCCTCCCAACGCTGGACCTGATCCCCTGGCCGAATACCACGCTTCTACCGAGCAATCGCTGGCTTGGCTCCGAAGGCAGGCGAGGCCTCCCGCCCGGCGACACCGGGGGCCAATCCCGCCCGTCCGAACCCCGGTGGCGACGGCGACAGCAGCGGCTCCTCTCCAAGCTGTTCACTACCCTCCCCCAAAACCCGAAGCGTGAGTGACAGCTCCAAGCCCGCCCTCTCCCCGCCTTGCCTCTTCGCCATTGGCTTCAAACCAGCAAGGCCCGCCTACTTCTCAGCGCCATTAGCCCCGCTCTCCGAAACACTGATGTAATTCTCTCGCCAGTTCTATGGAAACGGAGACTCGGGCGGCGCGCGGGCTTCTGGGTAGCGTGGTTTTCCACCCGCCCCTCTTGCCGCAGCCCGAGAGGGGACATGCTCCTCCTCTGTACTACAATTCCCGATGTGCATCGGGAAGCAGCGAGGAAAATGAGAAAATGGTGCGGGGCGGGGGCGGTGGAGGGAGCCGAAGGGAGATTATGGAAGCGGGGGTAGGAGGAGCTCGCGCCTGCGCCGACAGGCCCCGGTGGCGCATTTTCCCCCCCATCAGGCGAAGGTGGCGGTTGAGGCGGAAGGGGGTGGGGCTCTGTGCCCACCGCCACACTGGGCTGAGACGGGCGGAGAGAAGGGGCTCGCTCCGGGCTGGCGGAGAAGCGGCGGAGACCTCGGAAGGTGAGAGGCGGCGCTGCTTAACGAGCGGGGGGGGGCTTGCCTCCGCCGCCTCCCCCCTCCCCCCTGGGCGGCAGAAAAGAGGTGTCGGGTTTCCCGGCTCTTCCTGTCTCCGGCCCCCGCCCCGTTCGCTCCTCACAGGAGGCTCCTCCTTCCCCGGCTGCTATAAAGCGGAGGCCGCGGGGCCGCCGGGGAGGACGAGCAGCTGCGCCTTGGCGGTGGCGGGAGAAGCAGGAGCTACCCGCCTCAGAGCTCGCCTTTCCCTCCTCGGCCTTTTTCTCTACCGGTGTTCGCGCTTGAGGGAGGCTGCTGTCCTCTGAAGCGGGTTACCTGTCTCTCTCCGTGGTAAGTGCCTCCTGGGTGCTGACTGAGAGGGCAGGAGACGGGTACAGGTGACTTTACGTTGCTATTTGCTTTGAAGTTTAGTTTTGTTCGCCTTGCAGTGTTCTTGGTAAGCCGTCTTGAACTTTTGACACAGGGTAAAATAGGAACTCAAGCTTTTGTTTAAACAATTGTGTCTATTATCACTTGGCTGTAGGGGTGCTTGTTGTAGGGCTGTACAGTATTTAGAAGTGCCTGCTTTGGAGAAGTTGATCTGTTCAAAGATATGAGGGAGGGCTGCTCTGTTTTTCCTGAAATAAGTGATTTATGTTTTTTCACTATGTGTAATGTACAATACTGTAATGTAACGCGTGGCTATGTTTTGATATAAAACTCAGTTTATTTGTTAACCATGTAAGCAAAAGATGGAACCCTAATAGTTTCTACTATTTAAAAGCATATGTTAATTATTTCTGAACAAAGGAGGGCTGAAATCAATTACCTAAATATTAGTGCTACTTTATGTAGGTGCGCTACAAAAATGTTTCCATAAGAGGACAAGTTAGCAATCTCATATATTCTGCACAGTCTTTTCTTTGTTACTGCAGCAAAATAACAGAAAACTGCTAAATTGATTAGGTGTGAAGAATAATATGTAGCAGCTTCGATGTAAAAATGTCATGTGATGTGGTCTTGACTCTTGACGCTTTAGCTGGCAGTTTATGGAATAATCTAAGTTATAATTGCAACCATTGAAATGTGTACATATATGTTGCTCTGGGCACCTGTTACAATTCAATAATGGAGACATATGTGCATATATATGCTCTTTTCTCCTTTATTAATATAACCATAGCAAATATAATAAATGAAATAAGCATTATGAACCTCTTCTTACTGAAAGTTTCCGGATTTAAAAATGAGGTCATTATTAGGATGCTGGCCCAACGTGATTTAGGCATTAAGTGGCCTGCCAATTCAAACTATTAAACAGTGGCATGTTCATTACCAAAGATGTTTAAACCCTTCTCTGAAATTCTAGGTCAGCATTGAAACACAATTAAAATTTTATTGACATGTTAAGGCATGCTTGGAGGAAGCTGATTACTTGGCTCCGTTCCAGTCTGGTTTCAGGTCTGATTGTGACACTGAAAATGTCCTGGTCACACCCTGGTTGTTGATGAAATTTGTTTGGAGGGAGATCAAGGGATGCATCTTGGAGACTTTCATTTCAATACTGTTGATCACAGTTATAATTCTCAAGCCCCTCAGTGCTTCACTGTTTTCACTCCTACCTCCAGGCCTGTACAGTGGTACCTTGGTTCTCAAACTTAATCCGTTCCGGAAGTCCACTCCAAAACCAAAGCACGCTTTCCCATAGAAAGTAATGCAAAATGGATTAATCCCTTCCAGACTTTTAAAAACAACCCCTAAAACAGCAATGTAACATGAATTTTACTATCTAATGAGACCATTGATCTATAAAATGAAAGCAATAAACAATGTACGTACTGCAGTCACACAATCAATCAATCAGTAGCTGAACTGGGTTCCACACAGTCACAAAAACAAAACAAAAACGCAAAATAAATAGCAAAAACAGACAGACCTCAGCATAACACTCAAATCGGAAGCAGCATAACACTCAAAACAGAGCACGTTCAGCTTCCAAAAAAAGTTCGCAAACCGGAACACTTCTGGGTTTGCAGTGTTTGGGTTCCAAGTTCTTCGAGTACCAAGGCGTTTTGGGAACCAAGGTACCACTGTGTTCAGAAAGTAGCCATGGAAGGTTACTCTTTGGCACCATGGAAGTTGGTGCCAAAGAGTAACCTTCCAAAGAGTAACTCCTGGAGAGATCCTTCTTGTCCCTCATGCTATTTAACATGTATAAAAAGCCCCTGGCAGCTGTCATTAGGGGATTTGGAGTGAAGTGTCATCAATATGTTCAGGACACCCAGCTCTGTCTACCCATCTGAATCAGGAGAGGTGGTTGAAGTGTTAGATCAGTGCTTGGAGGTGGTGATGGGCTGGATGTGGGCCAGTAAACGGAAGCTGAATCCTGAAAACATGGGTGTTACATACCCCAAGGGCTAACATTCTGGTGGTATGTCATGCACAGGTTTGCACTCCCCTGGAAGGAGAGTATTAAAATTGGCAGTAGAAACCCTCTTCATTTTTCCACAGCATTCAGAAGTTTGGGGACAGGTAGCCCAGGAGAGGGCATTCTGTGTGGTAGCTGCAAACTTGTGGAACTCCCCACAGATGTGTATCTGGCATCTTTTATCATACAGCTTTCACCAAATGCTGAATATGAACCTCTTTACCCTGGCTTTTGACACTTGAGATCTATATTTATAGGACCCACCTTATTTCTGTGATTGAAAGCTGTTTTAAACTCTCCTTAAAACCATGTTTTAATTGTTGTACTTGTTACCCATCCTGGGACTTTAGGGTGAAGGGTGGGTAATTAATAATAATTGATATATAAAACTTCATTTGGGCTTTGCTATGTAGAATATACATCAGTATTAGTCTTCTGTAACTTTGCACTTTCCACATAGTCTGTGAAAGTGCTTTGTGGATTTTAAACTGGAAAGTCAGCATTTATCATACAATGATAGATAATGATTTTACAGTGGTACCTCGGGTTACTGACGCTTCAGGTTACAGACTCCGCTAACCCAGAAATAGTACCTTGGGTTAAGAATCGTGCTCCGGCAGCATGGCGGCAGTCAGAGGCCCCATTAGCTAAAGTGGTGCTTCAGGTTAAGAAGTTTCAGGTTAAGAACAGACCTCTGGAACAAATTAAGTACTTAATCCGAGGTACCACTGTATATTTGTTTTTTGCCGCTTAAGTGTTTCTCTATTTCTGTTAGACAGAACATTGGTGAAGCTTTCAGGAAATTATATGTTGGGCCACAACTTGTTATCTGCATGCTAATCAACAATGGCTGCAGAATTAATTTGGGACGATGATACTACTGTAGTGTCTGTATTTAAACTGCACGAGACAGATTGTTTCAGTTTGAAGCAGTTGCATCTGCAGTGCAGCAAGAAACATTACAAATGAGAGGGAAGAAAAGAGATTTCAGTAAAGTCTACAGAAAAACGGGCCTACAAAACATGAGATTATAGGTTTCCTAAATTTAGGAAGAGCTAGATAAGGAAAGCTGTATAGGACAACTAAGAATGTAGTGTTACACACCACCCCGATCTCCAAGCAGTGCAAGATACCAGGGGTCCAGGTGCTTACCCAGGGCTTGTGTTTCTTTTAGAAATGAGGCACAGCAGTAGGTGTATGACAGGGGTCAGCAACCTTTTTCAGCCCTGGGCTGGTCCACCGTCCCTCAGACCACGTGGTGGGCCAGACTATACTGTATTTGGGGGGGGGGGAATGAACGAATTCCTATGTCCCACAAATAACCCAGAGATGCATTTTAAATAAAAGGAGACATTCCACTCATGTAAAAACCCGCTGATTCCCAGACCGTCGGCGGGCCGGATTGAGACGGTGATTGGGCCGCATCCGGCCCATGGGACTTACTTAGGTTGCCTACCCCTGGTGTATAACCTATAGTTTATTTACACATATATACAGCCTGTGATGATGATGGAGGGGCTCGCAACATTACACTCCAAGAGGTTTTTTCTTCTCCCATGGCCACAGTTTTGAATGCCAGCAGAAATCAGCCATGGTTCTCTGTCACTTTGTTCAGTTTGCTATGTTTAGCACATCGTAACCCTTCCCAACTAGCTCACATCACCACTGCTGCAATCCTAAACTCGACCGCTCCCCTTCCAACTCTAAAAATTCTACTTCAAAGGCCTTTGTTTTTCTAACTAACTCTGAGTTGAGGGAGGGGGCCCTCCCATTTGCCCTCTGGCACTGAGCCACTCCCCCACCTACTATACTTTAGTGGGTCATTACGAGACTGGCTCATGTTTTGTATATCAATATGCTAAATCCAGCATCTGGCACCCAGAAGTTAGAAGGGGAGCCAAGGCACACACCCGCAAACTCACACAACAGTAGATTTTAAAATGATATGACAATGTTACAGTGGTACCTCAGGTTAAGTACTTAATTCGTTCCGGAGGTCCATACTTAACCTGAAACTGTTCTTAACCTGAAGCACCACTTTAGCTAATGGGGCCTCCTGCTGCC